TTCATTCTCACGAGGTTCTACACCGAAAACGTGACGGAGGGTTCAACGGGCGAGGCTAATTGGGCCGAAGAAACGAACCGCAGGGGGCCAACACACGAGAGTTAGAAGATGCAATGCCAAAAGTCAAAAGTGAAGACAATAGAAACAATTCTCAAATCCACATTCAAATTTTCAACGTCCCTAATACCCAGAATAAACAGCTTAGCTCACAGGGTGTTTCAAAAATGTCAAGTCAAGCCTTTTTATTGAGAAAAAACAGAACCGTCAATTTCCATATATTATAATGTAGAGATTTAAGCTCTTTTCTTTCCGATGTTAACCTAAAATCTAGACTTTGAAGAGTAAAAAAAAACTCAAACAATTTTTTTGTCATAGGAACTTTTAACTCAATTGGATGTCCTTTATCACCAACTCAAGAGATAAATACTCTTGAATCAGTCAGTTAAGCTCAGAATAAAATTTCATTAAGTAAATAAAACTCCTCTCGTTACTTACTGACCAAGCCTATACGCGAGCTGTTTCACTATTGAAATTGACTGAAATTCTAAGAAGGCTCAAATCTTAATAGTGCCAAAAAGCTAGTGTGACTTCAAAAGCTTAAATCTTGAGAAAAACCTGAGAAATATCTGAAAGTCTAAATTCGACTCAAACCCTAGTGTTGTAAAATAAGTCGCTTCGAACCTTAAAACGTTATATTTTTAATTTTTACTTAAGTCTGGATCAAATTGGATCTAAGAAATCCTTTCAATTGCAAAGCTTTCAAAATAAAATTATTACCTTTCAGCTTAGTTTTAACCTAAGTTTTAATCTCAAATTCAGATCATAGTGATAATAAAGAATTTTAAAGCTGCTCATATTTCAAAGCTCTGGAATGTATTTAAAATACGCAGGTAATAACTTAAAGCATCAACTACGAAAACAACCACCTTAGAATTTATTTTATTATTTATTTATACCGTGCGATCAAAAAAAAATAAATTACAGTAGGCTTCGATTAAATTCTACAGTTGGCAACACATTGGCTGGGAATCTGGACTGGAAATTTTTCACACAAACTGAAAGTGATGACCATTCACCGTTTTCGTCTTGTACAGCAATAAAAATTTTCTGAACATTATTTCACTCAAAAGGAATAAAACGCAAACTTGTCAAAGTTTCCGCTGACATTTAATGTCAAAAATCAGGATTGCCATCTGAAGGACTTTAATCATCGCATACTCTAATTTTTTTTTGATCGCACGGGTCTAAAAACTCAAATTTTACAAATACCTATCAAAGTACCAATTTAATCCTGAGATGAAGAGGCTGCTGAAACCAACTTTTATTTTGATTATAACGTTCATTAGGTTTTAACTATTTCAATCAATTCAAAGCCAGAAGAATTAAGATTTTTAAGTTTCTGATTTAAAAACAATCTATAATAAACAAAACTCTGAAAATTACTAGAACTTTGAGTCTAAAACATTTCAAACTTCTAGTATAACAGTAATTATTATCGAAAATTTTTATACTTTACAAACTCATAATTATAAAATTTTCAATGTCATCTGGGCATTGACTTTCCTATAAAAACATTTTTTATAACATCCCTGCAAATAGAGAATAAACGAAAATAAATATGTGATAAAAACAAATTAGATTGAAACCGATTACAAGAATCGTAAACCTCGATGGAAAATTGATTTGAAGCAATAAAAATAAATTCATCTCGATTTCAGTTTTTTACCTGAGAAAATACTTTAACTACCGCCCTGCCTAAACGCTTCTCGTCATCATGTCCCTCGTGTTATTTCCTCTCAATTTAAGTAATTTGATAAATGCGATACTTTCCCAAGTGATTCAATAGCTACTAAAATAATTTCGTAGCGTTTCGAGCTCCTAAATTCGCGCCTGAGGTCAGATCCAAGCAATCCTAGCATTTACAGGTGAAAATGCTCCGTCGTAAATTACAGGATAAATATTAAAATATTATGTTTATTTCCACATAATTGGTTAAAAATTGTGAAACGTTCTTGGAAGTTCAATTCGAGTACAGTTATAACATATCAATTAATTCCTCGGATTATCTCCTCGCATCTTAACGAAGCTTCTTACAATTAAAATGTTGTTCCACTATGATGGATGAGAGTCCGGGCAACAATCGATTTGTTTATAAGAAGCCAAAATTAATTTGTGGAAAAGAATGGTATTGTCCGATTATCCAATTGTGAAATTCTTATAAATCACATACGCTTACTGTTACATAACTGTAAACGATTAAAAAAAATCTAAATATGTGTGGAATAATTGATTGCTGCATTGTAAGGCATTTACTATCTTGTTTCTTTGTAAAAGTCGGCGCTGATGTATAATAATAAGAGCCGGAGGCGCACTTTCGAAATTACTCGTACGTTAATGTATGAAAAGTTGATTGAAGCAATTATTCCGATTTTTCATAATGGGAGAAAATCTGGAACGATGAGGTTTCAGCGCCTGAAATAGGCAAAGACAAAGCTCGATTGTGGCACCGGATGCTGTAAGTGGGCCGAGCTGAAACGGAAGAGCAGGTGCGACGGTAAATCATCGTTTTGTCAAAGTTTACGAATTTGTGATTGCTTTGATGTAATCGCGACAGTTTTATGAATTGATAAATATATGAGATGGGGGCTATTATTTGTGAAGAGTTATGGTCGAGGTGCTGCCAGGAGTAATATACGATTTGGCGCGAATGAGAGCAATTCGGAGAAGAGCATAATTACGAGTAATTTCTTTTGTGATTTTCGTATTATCTGAATTGCGTGACTCATGACGGTTAAGGGAAATTGGTGTGCCGTGTAAACGGAGATTTTCGAAGATTTATACCGAGAACGAGAGCATTTTATGATCAGACGTTGTGGGAAATTTCGGAGATGTGTTTACAGATTTGCGCTTAACATTTTTATTGTGTAAATTAAAATACAGTAAAACCACAATCATAATTATTGTTGATTCAAAATATCGATTTAAAAGCATAATAGGAAAAATACAATAAGCGGATGTTTAAAAAATAGACTGCAAAACTAAAAAAAGTTCAAGTTTTAATTTAAGAGTTACTCTAGTATTGTCAAATCTATTTAGGAGTTCTATTGCCAAAATTGCTTAGTTCGCACTAGAAACTTTTCTGCAATTCAAAACCGAAAATTTTGCTGTTTTGAATTATCAAATCGGCTCAGGATCTGCTATGTTTTATAATTGCTATAGAAATTCAATTTGGAAAATTTAGATGTTTCTTATCGACTAAAGTTTCATAATGAAAAACCAAAATTACATTAAATAATAACAAAACTAAAAATGTTTGATAGCTCTTGAAATACTGAACAGTAACTCGGATAGGAAAAACTCAGGTTTAAAAAATAAAATAAGTATTATCCTCAAGGTGTAGATTGTTTCTAAAGAGCATATAAGAAAAATTCAAATAGCACACTATTTTTTCTTATATAAAAGTGTCCAACAAATTCGAGCATTCTTAAAAAACAGCTTTAGCATTAATAATGTTTTCCCAATTCAAGAATGAAAATTATTCCACTTGACCTCAGTGTTCCAGAAAACTTCAAATACTGATTAAAACACAAACGTCCTGTTTGGATCAAGAAGAAAGTTTATTAACTTTAAACCAAATTATTTGTTTCCAATTTTAAGTTACTTTAAAGAAATAAGCTTTTTTGCGATAGTAAACAAAAAATCTGCTTTAGATTCGAAAAAATATGAATAAGCAGTGAACACTGCTTTACTGACTGACTGGCCCTTTACTGACTAATTTTTCTAAAACCTGAAGAAAATAGACCAGTTTTCAAAAAGAGTTATTTTATGAGGAACCTGTGACGCCATCCTTTACGGCAACATAAGACAAAAGATTAAATTATATTTCTGTAAACACATTATTGAAATTGACTCTTTAGTCACTAAATCAGAAAACCTTGTTTTCGTTTTAAAAATGATAAAAGATTTTAATCTAGAATAATAGTGCAGAAGCTACTGAATTTTTGAGGTACTAATTTTCCAAATCATTGAACATGGATAAGTTAATGAAGCTAATTAGGAAATCTTGGGTATGGCAAACATTTTCCGGTGGGTTGAAAAGCAATAAAAGCAATTTATTTTTAATTGCTCAGTTTTTCACGTGCCAAACACATTTTCGCATGGAAGGCATTTGCTTTCACAAGGCTTTTTCTGAGTCAGATTATCGGAAATACATACATACATAAATATAAGATTATTTTACTTAACATCACTAAAATGGTCCGTTTCTATGACGCTTTATTGTTAGACAAATTTTAAAGGTTCCCATAATACTTAGATAGAAATACCAATCAGATCAACGTTATTTTAGTAACTATCCAAACGAATTAATTTATGTAATGTTAAATTGTTCCAAAAACCAGGCATAAATCAACAATCTTATTGATGTTTGATGACTGGGAAAATAAGTAGTACCTACTAAAAAAAATTTACTGTCCTGAATCACAATTATTATTTTATTTCCCAAAACATCCAAATTCCAAAAATTTAAGAATAAGAAGTTTTTAAAATGATCTTTAATAGAAATTTAAATTAAATGAATACTTGAACATTGTGTGAACATTGTAAGCATTTCAAAAATTTGGCTTCAAGGATTATAGAACATTCTTCTTGGTTTGTCAGATCGATTTTTTGCTGTTAAAATATATCTATTTCTAAAGAGAAAATTTTACACATTTAATTCAATTATCAATAAAGTTTTTTTGGAAAAACATAAAAGTGAAACTACTTACTAATAAAATTCTTTATTAGAGAAAGTAATTTACAAAAAAACTAGAACCGTGTATCTGCTCGAAGGAATTCTCGGAAAGAATCAGAATCGTAGATATTTTCCCCGAGCTTTTCCCGGTTCTGTGACACTCGAGCTTTTACTTTCCTGGTATTGTCCAACCGTTACGTCACAACCACTTGGAGCAGATGTCATTGGAAAGCACGTGACATATGTTTACACTAAGTCAACTTACCTGTTGATTGGCTCAGAGTGGTTCCATGGTTGGTTCACTGCACCGAAAATCCCACACTGTCACACATTCGGCTAATCCCAATAATCCCGTGGGGTGTCACTGTCACAATCACTAGCTCATCCCTTGTTTCCATTCATGGGCAGTGTCTGTACGAGTCGCGTGCTCTCCCGAAGACCTCGCTTCTTACACTGATCACACACTCATGAAGGTAAGAATGGCCCGGTGGGGGGACATATAGCATTCCCAGGTAGGCCGCAGCGGACTTCCGACGGACCTCTTCTTCGCCAGACTGCTCCAGGTGCACTGCAGCAGCGGCGACAAAGGGGCCGCATCCATTAGACGGGCGTCTTGGCGCCTCGATGGACCAGACCGCACCGATAATTTGATATACTGTCCTCTCATTACCCTATTGATTGCTCCATTGTCTCGACGGCGCGAACTTACAAACTTAGTTAACTCGAAGAGAATAATGGACAAAGGTCGGGGATGAGGACAGACCCACAATACATGACTTGATTAGGCTTATTAGCCTGAAAGGACCCTAAACCAATCGATAATCATACGGCATTTTTAATTTCACATTTTTTTAACTAGCAACTCGACCTGTTTCAGACAAAACCAATTATATTTTTCTGACAACTGTTCACGCTTATTAAACAAAATTTACTAATACTCGTAATAGTGTCCATTTTATTGAAAAATCATTTTAAAAAAAGAATATATTTAATACGAAGAATATCTCAAATTCCCACTAAATGAATTTACCATTTCGGTTTGTTTAAAAAGAAAACTGTAAATAAATTATACACACATGTTCACGTGTGACACATATATAAATTTTCACACCTACGGAAACATAAAAATATAAAAGAATTTTAAGAAAAAACGATTTTTTAATTTTTTTATTTGACAATAATTTCATAATAAAATAGGCTAAAAAAGTGTTGCTCTTGTAAATGTCTGAGGTTTTAATTGAAACAAAAATATGAATTCAAATTTAACTTTTAGAAATAAATCATACTTTTCACTCAACTTTAAAAAAAGGTGATGAGAGCAAAAAAATTTATTTAGGCTTCGAAGCTATTTAAATTAAAAAATGGAAAAATTAATTAATTTAAAATAAAATATTAACTCCACACTAACAGTAAACACATTGAGGCCTTCCTTCAAATACGGGTTTATGTTCATGTACATACATACATAAACCCGTATTATAAACCCTTCTTCCAGGAACTCAATACTTAAATTACTTACAATTCTATGATAACTTTTTACCTTTAAGAATGATGTAATTTAATCTTAGCACAACTTTGGTACGTATATCAATAAAAAAAAGTTCAATAAATCGTTTTTCTTCATTTGTCTAAAATCGTCATTTAAGTAGGTACCCTTTTTCCTCGCCTTGTGCAATGAAAGGCTTCAATTGTTCAAATATAGGAGCATCTAATATGCTGCTAAAAGTGCTAAACAGTTCTCTGCATAAAAAAAAAACAAATAAAAAGTTTATTTTTATTAGTTTTTAATTTTTTCAAAAACATAGTATACCACACATTAAATTAAAATTAAAAAAGTTTAATAACCTGACACCTAAAACATGTAGTAAAATAATGTTATATACACAATTAATTTGAATAAAAGAAACACCAAACACATAAACACGATGTAGGTATTCAGATTCATATTCATTTATATATTTTTGTAAAAGAAGACAAAAAATAGTTATTTATTATACAAGACGATAAAATTGAATTTTATCTTTGAGAGCAGTTTAGCGTCGAGGCGTCAGCCGTGTACAATATAAAATTTTATTCAATCCTCACTAATTTTGTAGTCAATTTGGTCGATATTTATAAATGTCAAAGTAAAATTCAACAATGAAATCTAATGTCAAAGATCGTTAGCAACTAACAACCGCAGATATACAACAATGGATGTATTTTTTTATCATCTAGACGATAAAATTTCATTTTAACATGAAGAAAAGAGTAGATAAAATTCAATTTTAACATAGATTGAATAAATTTTTTTTGTAAATCACTGGTTGTGTTTCAATCACTTTCCGAGTTGTAAGGAAAAGGTGAGAAATAGATATTTATCAGTTTTTTAATTACGAGTAACTCTGGCTTTTAAGTGCTTACACAAAATATTGTGCATAACCACTGAGATTTTTTTTTATTTCATTTTTTTAAGAATCGAATAGTGGAATTAGAAAAACATTTTTTAACAATTATTTATGTGTTCTTATAAATTTATTTATACAAAAAGATATTTATCGGTTAAAAAAAGAAAATAATCTTACATATTTAAAAATCGACTCTAAAGTATCATTTACGAATATGAAACTTTTAACTAATTCAATGATTAAACTAACTATAAATAAATATAAATATATAGCTACTTGGTTTTTATAGCCTAAAATTGTCCAAAAATAGCTTGACTTATCAGCCACAACTCATTCCACATTTCTCATTTTTCGAATTTTTAGATCTAGGTGCTTGAAACGACACATAGAAAACTCATAACATAAATTTGAAATAAATTTAGAAGCAGTCGTTGCCTTATTTGGAAAATCATTAATTTTTTGTTGTTAGAACAAACTTGTAATTTACATATTCTGCTGCTGATTGCAACAAATTTAATGTTTAAATGTGTCCAAAGTTTTGTAATTGGATAGTTTGCATAAAAAATGTTATTTTTCGAAAGCACAAACAATGCGGCAGTTGGTTTAAGTTCTGCTCGACCACAGAGGTCATTTGTTGGGTTATTATAGTGTTATCTGTCCGGTTTCAATGATTTATTAAAACCTATAATTGTAAGTCGATACAGGTGGAAACTTCAGCTTGATGTAATTCAAGTGATTGTGGCCGGTTATATTTGTATTGTATTCGTATTGCGAAATTGTTCATTGGATCATGAAGAATATAGTGTGTCTATAAGTGGTAATTTTTCTCTCCTGGGTGTTTCGTCCAGTAGATTCAATTACTTATCGGCGTCCGAGCGAATCTCGGATAATTCGGGCCTCGGAAAAAATAGTATAATATGTGGTTGCGGCATCAGGTCTCGGTATAAATTACAGATTGTGTACGCTTAGGTCGGGAATTAATAATAAAAAAAGAAGAGCCGAGAAACAGATAAACAGTGTTTCATAACCTCAGCTCGGTATGACAGTACCAATAAATCTCCGGTAATTTATTAGGAGTGTGAATCCCCATAATCGGACACTTCTAGCCACAAACTCCGGCACTTAGGCCGCGATATAAAAAACGCCAACAAAATCGCCGCTCGTTTTCCCGGTGCGAAAGCATCGCTTGATAGATAGCCACCAGCGAAGACGACAAAAAACTGTCTTTGTCTGCTGGAGCTATGTTAATTCTACCATGCGATAATTCATACCAGTTGTACTTGCCTTGCTGGAGTCGTATTATAATAACATACGACGAGCTTGGATGTATACCTCAAAAGCGCCCCTCGGCCCGCGATGCTGAAATACGACGCAAAAATGCGACACGCATGTAAAGCCTCCTCATCAGCTAAGACCAACACGATACACATGCAACCATCACGACGCATTTTTAACATCACACAACTCATCAACGAACTGTCTGTCATTCAACCGACAGAGGTACGGACTTTTTACATGGCCTTCGAACTCAATCTTTTAACATCTTCCGGATGATGAAGGCGGGAAAGCGCCAACACTTTTTGCAACACTGAAAGCTTCGCATCTGCAGCTACACCACTCATGAACCAATACATAATGATCTTCAATTTCAAAAATTTTAAAAGCCGACCCAGCGTATTGGCGACAGCAGCGATGCGAATAAGCGATTATCACGAGTTAAAAAAGAATACTACAGAAGGTCAACAAATAAGAGAGTAGTGGTAAAGAAGGTTCAGAAGATATGAATAAGCGAATAGAACATTATTTATAAAAAAAACTAACTATAAAAACTAAGCTATGCAAGCTGTAACGACAACATGAATTAGCGAAAGCAAATAATGTAAAGACATGTTTCAAAGTGATTTAAATGATTTGAAGTAAACGATAAGGGTGAGAAAAACAATTGAACAGAAAAGCTTTTTTTATGCGAATTTAATCTTATGTATCACAAGAAAAAACAAATAAATAATACTAAAAAAATACTAATAAAAAACAAATAATACTATAAAATGTCAATAGTGGCGCAGCCAGAGATAGAGTTTAGGGGGGGGGGGTTTACTTATGATATGGGCTTAATTGTTATAACTGTCTTTATGACGGATGACAAATTAGCATAAATACAGGATGCGCCTGAACTCGCGCCCCAGAGAAAATTTTCAAGTAAGGTCAGATATAGCTTGTTCCAAATCTGGTGGCGAACTGACGTTGTCAAAAATCACTGAATTTTGACACTAAACATATGTTTACTATTAAAAATAATATTGTTCATAGGCGTCGTATGAAATAATATTTCAAAACCACTGTTATTCTTTAAAAAAATATAATAAGTAGGTACTCGTACATAAGATGAAGAATAATGAACAAATTATTAAATTGTTAACGCATGAAAAGAATTTTCAAAAATGATATTCCTAACAATTATCCATGTCTTTAAAATTTTTAAAGAAAAAAAGTACGCCCATGTATTTTTTTATCTTAAGCAAGTGGACGCACTCCAAGTGTCTTTTCTGTCACTGTCAGTTCGCCACCAGATATGGAATAAGCTCTACCAGGAACATGAAAAAAATGTTTAAAAAACTCTCTGTCAAAAAATTTTGACATTTATTTTTTGACATTTTTTTATATCTATTTAATGATACTGATGATCTTGTATCTGTTTTTTTTACAATTATTTAGTAAAGGGACAAAAATTTTGCCAATTAAAGCCACAAATAACATTGAACAGAGTTACAATTTAGGATACAGCTTTCTTGTTTCTTCTTTTAATAGCCTATAGCAAAAAAAACTTGGAAAATTATTTTTCCAATAGAAATAAATAGGGTCAAAGTGCAAACTTTAAACCCTCACAACTTCGAAATTTTTGGAAATAATTTTTTTTAACATTTTTTCCATGTTCCTGGTATCTTACCTTATATGCCATTTTTCTCTAGGGCGCGAGTTCTGACGCACCCAGTCCTGTATATGCCTGCACTTTTAAAGGCCATTTTACACGTAATTTTAAAGGTGCCCAGAAAAAATGAAACAGCAGTGTCATTCGGTTGACATTT